TTTTTTTTATTGGTCTTATGAAGTATTCTAATTTGTTGAGATTGGTGGGTTTTTGTTAAAAGTGAGCCAAAATCATCACAATTAAAAGAACCAAAGACTTAAACTACTTCAGTCTGTGTGCATTGAATTTATTTAATACACGAGTTTCACAATTTGAGTTGAATTACTGAAATAAATGAACTTTTCCACGACATTCTAATTCATTGAGATGCACCTGTGTATATATATAAAATACCTGGAGAATACTATCCAGAAGGGTCTAACTGGCCCATGCTGACCAGCAAATTCTTGACCCTCACTATTGTTACTTAAAGGGATAGTTCACCCAAGAATGAAAATATGATTTTTATCTGCTTACCCCCAGGGCATCCAAGATGTAGGTGACTTTGTTTCTTCAGTAGAACACATTTGATGATTTCATTGTTTACACAGTGCACAAACATTGTAGGTACGACAGCTAATCAAAATGGTACTTACTTGCGCTTATCCGGATTGTTCAAACCGACTTAAAACTAAAAGATTACGTTCTCTCGCGCGAACTCATTCAGGAGTGGTGACTTTCCACGTATTCCCAACTTCTGAGCCTGCTCGCCTGAAGTTATGGTTGATTGCTCTTCGGCTGGATATCAACACACCCTTTAACGTAAACTACGCCAGAGCGAGTACACTCCTCACGCACCGGAAGCCGTGCGCGCGCCCAAAGACAGTTGGACATGGTGGTGTATTAGAGGTAAAAAATTATTTACTCTCATAGATTTTGTTACCATTGCCATGCATTATACGACTGATAGACTGCAACGGTTAAAGTTAAAAATCATCAATTGTGTTCTACTGAAGAAACAAAGTCACCTACATCTTGGATGCCTTGGGGTAAGCAGATAAACATCACATTTTCATTCTTGGGTGAACTATCCCTTTAATGTTATTTAATACCTTTTCTAACTGCAACACTGCCATCTGTAGGTGGGTTTCTATTATTACTAAATCAAGTAAAGAACAAGGATCACATGAACACTTTGCCCACAATAAAACATTCTGGTGCTCAAACCAATAAATTATATTTTGTATCAGAACGCACTGGTAGCTTGCTTGAACACAGATATGCACACAGTGGAACACAACAGTAACTTGCTTGACTGTCTTTATGTGTAGCTGAGGCCTGCAGCACCACAGAGGATGGAGATGAGCCTTTGCTCTGCCCAACTGGTTACGAGTGCCACATTATCAACCCGGGAAGCCCCTCAGCTGGGATCCCAAACCGAGGCCAGTGCATCAAACAGCGTGGAAACTCAGGTCTGAAGGGGCTCCTTTATCCAAACTTTCATTCATACATTAATCACGCCATCCACACACACGTTATGTGTAATGTGTATATATAAACATTGTTTCAGAAAACATCTAAGCAAGATTACATTCACACATTCAACAGCAGATTTTATAATTAATATATTTAAATAAAAATATTACTACCATAAACATTTAACTGTTCTCCCTCTAGATGGAGATAGCCTGAGACACAAGTCCTTCAAAGATTACAAGGATTATTTAGGTTAGTACGACCACCAATTTATTTTGTGTTTCAGCTGTAGGGAAGGGAAGAATAAAAGCGGCCATTATTAATAGAATGACAATGAATTTAATCTTTATTCTTCAGGAAGTAACTCCAAAAATGCAGTGAGCTATGAGAAACATCAGCACAAGCATTTGGGCTGAGACAGGTGAGCAGAGTTTCACCACTGAATCCCAACTTTTGAATCCTATTTTTTGTGATTTAATGTTTTACTTTTTCTCATTTAGGTGACTGAAAGTTGGTTCCATTTTAGAGGACTGAAGAAACCAGTAACCGGTGACCCTTATACCTGAACCCCAACCATCAAATCCAACAGAATTGCACAAGCCTTTCTCTTCAGCTCAAACCAGAGATCGGTTCATATCTGGTGCTCTTTTTCTTAGGTGCTTAATGTGGAGTGACAGAAATGCAAAGCTAAAATTTCCTACCTCTTATAAAAGCCAAAAACAGACCACAGAAAGTATCAAAGAATTTATACAATAACATGTCTTATACATATGCCTACTTCGGGTAAAAAAGCAGAATTAACTATATGTGAGTTGTGTTGAAGGAAGATACTTTGTGTGGTTTTTATGCTGCTGAGTCTGAACTCTTTTTTTTTCACTTTAAACACCAAAAACAGCTAGTTAATGTATGCTGAATGCTCAGTTACTATGTCTGTGGATTTAAATTTTGGTACAGAAATGCTCCATAAAGGCTTAAAGGGGTCATAGGATGCTACATGCACTTTTACAAGTTGTTTGAACTGAAATGTGTGTAGGCAGTGTGTGTACACAACCACCCTAAAGTGATAAAGATCCACCCAGTGTTTTTTTGTTAATCTACTAAAATCTTTACCCCTTTCTCAAATCGAGCCGATCTCAGATGCCTGTCTTTGTGACGTCACGATAGTTTGATTGACAGTACAGTTCAGCACAGACTGGACTGGTGTCTTACCTCAGGCCCGCCCTGAGTGAGCTGTCATCAGTCTGCCATTGTTTCACCGCCGGAGCAGATTTAGACAAGAATGACTCCTAATAAGTGATTGAGGTGTTCTGTTGTTGGATGTAATAATGAACATAGCAGTCTTCATTTACTCCCGACATCTGAGCCGCTGAAGACGCAGTGGATTACGTTTGTTTTTGAAGGGAATGCGCCCAGATCTGCCTAAATGCGTCTATGTTTGCGCAAATCATTCATGATCAGCCTCATCTACAGAAGAAGTGAGTATAATGTTTTGTAATGAATCTTTGCAAATTGACTTTCCTAATAATGTGCTAATTAGCAAGTTTCACAATGAATGCGGTTAAAGTAAACAGTCCCTCAGAGAGCAGCTCGGAAGAGAGGGGCGGGGTCAGCAGAGCTCATTAACATTTAAAGGAAAATGCTACAAAAACGGCTTGATCTGAAAAGAGCTGTTTTTGATAGGGTAAAAAAAGGTGTTTTTTACACTACCACTGAGAAATTTTAACCAAACTATGTTACAGACTTTTCATTAAGACCCTAAAGAATCATATCAACTTGTGGAAAATGGGCATCCTATGACCCTTTTAAATTCCATACCACCCAATTGTTTCTCCTTTGAAGTTTTTTTTTTTTTTTTCAAAAATCATGTGTAAGGTGCTTGTAATCACTTTAGGTGCTTGCTTCAACTACTTCACCAATCAACAGTTAAATTCCAGATGTGCTCTATCACTGCAAGCTATTCGTTTTTCATATGGTGCTCCAATCAATAACTGTGGTTGTTGTTTTTTACTCATTTTGCAGGTCTGTGTTTTACTCTACTGCTTTCTGATAAGCTATACCAGTCTGACAAGTGGGACAAACCACAATAAAGCTTTTAATAAAGCAAAACATTTGAAACTGGTGCTGCATTTACTGCCTTGTAATTCCAAATAAAACAGTTGACAAAATATATCTCTGTGTCATGTTCATGTGTATATTAACATGTTTTAGACATGGTACTGCGGGGTTTGATCTCAGCTAAAGAAAGAAATCTCCTTTAAATTTATGAACAGATTTTATCCAGCAAATCATTATTTACAGAAGTTTAAAAATGTAAAAAAAATAGAAATAGGATCTTCTGTAATACCGCTCATTAAACCTTAAACTTTTTGAAGGAGCTTTAATGTTGAGACGTATTTACGTAATAGTATTTTATATATATATATATATATACAGTGTTGGGAAGGTTACTTTGGAAATGTAATAGGTTACAGATTACAAGTTACCCTATTTATAATGTAATAGTAGTGTAACTATTTCAATTACTTTATTAAAGTAATGTAACTGATTACATTTGAATACTTTTTGATTACTTTTCTACATTTTTAACAAATGTTTTAAAATACAAAAATTTTTTCAAACATTTAAAGCAGTCACGGTTAACTTTACAGTAGGACTCAACACTAGTTAGTATCAGACTTTCAAAATCCTTCTTCACTTGAATTAAGATAATTATTTAATTTAAAGCACGGCCACCACAAAATCAGACTTTAGCAGCTATGTTTACTTTGAGATCATTCTGCGGTTAAATACAGATTTATGATCATAAGATATAGTTTAATACTAGCTTTTTGAGATCAAAATATTTGCATAGCCATGACAAGTAACACTGGCATCTAGCAATGCTTTGGAAAAAAAACTGTTAATCTTTTAAAAAAATAAAGCATATACATAAACCCAAACAGGAAATAAAACAGTTATTGAATAAGCATGTGTCCTATTCTGTGTCCTAAACTCCTGAAACATTGGTGTCTCATATTTTAGAGCAGTCGATGCAATTTGGGAAAGAAAGAAATCAAATCTGTACGTGTGTGAACATATTCAGATGTAACCCCCTTTGTAATCTTTAACATTTTCATAAATAACTGTAATTTAATTACTAGTAACTGTAACAGATTACAGTTACATTTATTTTGTAATTAAATTACGTAATTCCGTTACATGTAACTAGTTACTCCCCAACACTGT